AAGTCGTTTCCACTTTTGCCCAGTAGTTGAAGTTCTGGGAGATGTACCTTCAAGATTTGACAAGAAAACAATAACCTTTTTCAATAAGTTTCTAATATATTGAATTGGTGGTTAACTTCAGAAGAGAAAAATATATCAAGAGTTAAGATAATAAACCTGCTAGAGATTTTCAACAAGCACGGGTCAAATGGGAAGAATGTATCAAGCCTCTCAAACCCACCAAAGGCTCGCGAAAGCTCAGACTCAAGTAGGCCATCGAAAATGAAGGCTTCTGAGACGATGAATAGACCACCAGCTTTGGCTTGTTTAAGGAACTCAGCAACTACAGATGGAAGGCATACCTGTTCCAAGAAAACAAATTGGTGCAAGCTTAACGCATTTAGTACTTTTAGAGTCAAGTCTCAAGACCACTTCAAATTAACAGTTGAGCTAAGAGAAAAAGAAGAAATAGAAAAAGATAGTGTAATTCACCATCAATGGGTTTAGTTTGTGAGTTAAAATTGACTCCAATGGTGCAAGGTCTGATTGGAAGCGAGGAACATCCAGAATGGATCTCATCTGGAAGCATAGCACGTACAAGATTGCCTACATTAGCAGAAAAGTAACAAATTTAAGTGATACATAACATAATGGCGTATGACTCCAAACCCACATAGTCAAAACTATTCAAGACTTAAGGGTAAGATCTTTAACAATGATCGGTAACTAGAGACGTCAATGATTTCACAGAAGGGTTTTTTACTATACCTGACATCCAGAATAGAAAACTTGATGTGCTTCAGGCCTAACATCATCATCGCATCTTCTGCAATAATCCGCACACTCGTCTACCAATCTAGGATTTTAAGACACAAGAGAAACAATGTTACAACAAAGTGAAACTTGAATCCGACCAAACAATTATCTTTATCCGTTTTTGAGCAATCTCTTCGTACCTTTTCAATATGCTAGCCACAAAAGAAACTGGCAAAAACTTTCCGCGAGACAAGTAGCTAGCTAGATAAGCGGCTGCACTCATCCTGTTATATAAGGGAGAAAAAAAAAACCACATACAAGTGGTGATAAGAACAATATTAGCATAATATCGTGCAGAGAAAAATTTACCATAAAGGACAAAATGAAACTCGCCTTGTAAGTCGTGGCTTGTTGCTGGAGAGAAATATGTCCAGCAGCTTACTAGCAAATTTAACACCACAATTTTCAGGATCTAGTGAGCACGCATAGAACATCAGGAACTGCAGACGAAAGCAAAGTGAGTCTAAACCAAGACATCTCATGCCGACAATTAACTAGAGTGTTAAAATTCTAGATTGACGAATTCAATAGAATGTAAGGTGATAGCTATTATGCCTACCTGTGAAAATTTTGATTTAAACGTGTTCAGAATCAAGTTCTCAAAGGAAACAAAGAGAATTTCAAACACCTACGTCAAAATCACGAAAAACAGAACCGCCAAAAGATTAGTGAACAAAAACCACAAAGGAAAGGAAAAATATGTTATTGAAGAACCATTTGGTACCATACCTCATCCAAACGACCAGCTTTTTCACAGGATTCAAGATGCTCAAACGATTTAACCATCAAGTTGTCCAACAACTCAGAGACTGCATTTCCATCTGAACGATTTTTATCTTGAGACCCCACTGCAATCTACAAAGAGAAATCAAATTTATTAATGATGGCATATAATCTTCAGGAAACCCGAGAAAAAGGCATCTTCTAATATCACAAACTTTCAATCATTAATAATCACAGTCAAGTTTATGAATGCTGCAAGAATAGCAAAATAAACAGACCCTACCTCGTCCCTTTCATTCATACTGCAGTCAACTGCATCTTCAAGTTCCATATCAAACATGCCTTTACTAGAGTCATCTTGGAGAATATCATCCCATCCAATTTCCAACTACAAAGACGCTCAAACATATCATTCACTTACCACTTTACTTKCRYGCGACATTTGTATAAACAGTTATTCATSAAGTATATTCTATCCACTTACATCCAAATCTCGCAACCTCTCCATCACCACCGTAAGAATCTTGCTGCCAACGACTTTTCCGATTGAGCTATTCTCCAACATCAACAAGTTATCAACATATGTCATCACCAACTGCAAGATAATAAGATACTTCTCATTTTGTTTATCACCGATATAAGCTTGATGTTTCATTGTCTAAATTTAAGCACAAGAAAAACTTACATGTTCCTTGGCATGCAATTTAGGCATTCTTTGGATGAGTATGGGCAATAAACTCGATGGAGCAAGAGGAACCAAATAAGAAATTTTCTGCAGGGCTGCATGCACCCGGGAAAAAACTTCCTGCTTCTTATCGTTCAGACGGGATAGCACAAGACGCGTCACAAAAGGTGGTGGAAGGAAATTACTTATAAGCATATTCAAACAAGGGTCCAGATACTTTCCACTCGTAGCAGCCTAATGATGGAAAACAACAAAAGCACGAAATGTTAAGCTCAGATGATAATATTCATTGCCATGTGGAATAGTTGCTGATCTGTGTACCAGTGATATGACTAGGCCCACCAATGCATCCATGACACAAGGTTTGTGATCCCACAAGCTCATTCTAAAAATCTAATTACAGTAAATGGGAGAGGAACAGTTAGGGGCCTGCCTTAAACAGGAATATATGAAGATTCAACTGCAGTAAGAACTTACAGAAGAAAGAAGATCTCGATGGCGAAGTACATTTATGCAAGCAACAGAACTTGATAGACAATTTAAGAGTACCTGCAAAACGAATGGAAATGAAGATATTTTAGCAACAAGAATGAAAAAAAAAACAAGAGTTGACTGTCATATGAGGAAAATACACACCGCAAGCTGTGCCACTGCATCGGTATCTGAATATTCTTTAAGGTACATAGATCCAACAATCTGAGTATAATGGTCAGAGTTCCCCTGGATTTAATAAAATCAGATATGTTTAGAGAACACGGTCCATTACGAACAAAGAGCACAGGCAAACATAAATGCGCGCACGCACACACACATATGTGAACATGTGGAAGAAGCATCACTTACATTTTCGGCAGATGCAGATGCAAGGGCTTTTCTAACGAACGACAACAAAGCTGTATCGCTTAATCCAGTGTTGTCCATTGCACTAGAGTCGAAAGGAACATTCACATTCCCAACTTCAGCTGCTCCCATTCCCTATAAACAAAAACGCACAAATTTAGCCAAGAATCACCAAAATTTAACTACTAATCCATCAAAATGCAAGATTTAACTCAAATTCCCCACAGATTCTACATTAACTCAAATCAAATCTATCACAAGTAAACTCGGTTCCAAATTTATAACCCCACCCTATTTCAATTTCAATTTCAATTTAGGATTTTACAAAACTCATCGTATTCCAATTTCTTCCTACTTATAAACATCACATCGCATACTCTTTCGAGAGAGAGAACGGAAAACAAAAAAAAACAGAGAGAGGGAAATCGGAACATACGACTACTTGAGAAAGCTCGCGAAGAAGATGAAAGAAAGAGAGAGAGGTGGCGTAGTGTCTGCTTCAACCCTAGTGCGAGCAAAAACTGAGAAGACAACAAAAACCAAAAAGGGTATAAATTAGGGTGCGTCTTCTTCAATCTTCATTTATCCTTAACCAAATCGGCACGCCTTTCCGGTTTAAATTCGTCTGGTCCGATTTTAATTTAAGAGAGCCAATCAAACAGATAGCTGACCGGTTCAAAATTGTATAAAACCGATCACTAAAACGAATCCAAACCGGCGATCCTTTCATATTAGTTGGGAAATGATCCGTGAGAATATACTTATGTATCATTTTTCTATTTATTTTCTCAAATAAAATATAACATGACTAAAAATAATTATGACATGTCAACGACTAATTATTTTTTATTTTRAAAATTTTGATTGTCATAAAAAAATCTCTGCAAATATTTATTTATGAAGTTTAAAAAAAAATAAACAAACGACAAATTAATTAATAATTTGTTATAAAATTACACTAATAAAAATAA